ATTGATTGGTTGACTGACTGATTGATTGACTGACTGGTTGGTTGATTGACTGACTGATTGATTGGTTGACTGACTGACTGATTTATTGATTGATTGACTGACTGATTGATTGACTGACTGGTTGGTTGATTGATGTATTGATTGATTGATTGACAGATTTATTGACTGATTGACTGAATGATTGATTGATTGACTGACAGATTTATTGATTGATTGACTGAATGATTGATTGATTGACTGACAGATTTATTGACAGATTGATTGAATGATTAATGTATTGATTGATTGATTGACTGACTAACTGACTGATTGATTGATTGACTGATTGACTGACAGATTTATTGACTGATTGATTGAATGATTGATTTATTGATTGACTGACTGACTGATTGATTGATTGATTGATTGATTGATTGATTGATTGACTGATTGACTGACAGATGTATTGACAGATTGATTGATTGATGTATTGATTGATGTATTGATTGATTGACTGACTGATTTATTGACTGACTGATTGGTTGATTAACTGACTGACTGACTGACAGATTTATTGACAGATTGACCGATTGATGTATTGATTGATGTATTGATTGATGTATTGATAAGTGAGCTGAGCTGCGATGAGGCAGCCCACAGAGGTAACAGGTTTACAGAGTTAATAACAAACAGGATCAGTCGGACTCAGGATCTGTTTCTCATCTTTTATTGACATAAAATGAAGTTTTATTAAAAGTCTGATCCTTCCTGCTTCAGGGCCAGTTCCTGATTGGTCCAGCTGCAGAGGGTGTGGCCGACAACTTCACATGCAGCTCTCCTCTTCCTCGTGGCAGCAGGAAAACGCAGAAGGCTGCACAGGTTCTGAAGATGATGTCACTTCCTGTGGCTCCAAGATGGCAGGAGRATGTGACATCACAGGGCTGAGGAGAAACCACAGGTAACAACAAACACGTGATCAGCTGAGCAGTCAGGAGAAGGGCTGGGAGATCAAATCAATATCATGATGTATTGATCAGTTCACCTCGATAACGATAAATATACGATAAGTCTTACCACCCCCACCTCACACAGGTACACAGTAWAGTACAGTATGGTCATAATACTACACACTGTGTCCATGTTCTTAGTCAAAGTACACAGTTTAGATTTTGAACAGCTTTTCTGTAGTTTATATTTGTCTTTTTACTGTTTTTAATATATTTAACAAAAACTGACTTGAGTCAGATAAAGTCAATTATTTAATCATCTCCATAACTTTTCAGTGCAAACAAACACATTATGTATTATAATTTTATATTAAAAATTATATATACCAAATATGTATTTTGTACTGCACAAAATAACCTTACATATTTTATTTGTTAGACTGACTGATTTCTCTATTAAAATAACTATTTCTTTCAAAAAGATGATATTATGATGGTTTTATTTTTAGCAACATGGCGGCGCACGTAGTTGCAGCGGCTCATTGCTCTCTCGGTCGGTGCTATGTTTGGCTACTAGTGTGCGTGTTGTTTTGTGTTCTGTACTCGTCATGCTGGACAAACAAAATATACAGTCGGGACGATCTTCTGACGATCGGTGCC